TAGGGAAGCAACTGGATTTGAGGGGAAAAGTATCTTAGAATGTGGAATGATCCACACTTGTTACAAACAGAGCAGTATTTTCTAGGTTTAAATATCCCATATATATAAGCTGCACTGTCAGAAGTTAGAGACTTCAAAACTTACATACAAAAATTGTTGGGTATGTCACTGCTGGAAGCCTGAAAACAGGGTGCTTAATTTTATGTAGGACTCTGAGACTCTTTCCTCTAGGCACACAGAAGCTCATATAGCTGATCTCACATAGGCAGAACTGGAGCAGGATACTGCCCACAGTGTAGCCACGACAGCTTCAAGAACTGAGTCAGCTTCCTGGGAGCATCACTTCACAGCTAAATAAATACCATAGCACTGAGCTGTGGTTGCAAATACCTCAGGGCAGGTTTAAGCCTTCACTAATACTCAGGCTGACACAAGAATATGCAACCAAGCTGCTGTCTTAAGTGTCTGCACAGCAGGAACATCAGTCTTAATGACTTCCAAGTTTGTCAGTATACTGGAATTCAGTTTCTTCCAAAAGTAGGACTTAAATCTTCTGCATAAATAGGCAAACTGCATCCAGAAAAGTATGAGAACTACAAACCAAATAAACTATAAACAAAACTGACTTTGACTCAGTTGCAGGCTAATTTAGTCACTAAAGTAAAATCTGGAAGTACTTGCACGTGCTTTTCCCTACCTGGACACACCACGAATGGGAGGTCCTCAAGCAGTGCCTCCAGTCAGATCTCCTTAGTGCTAGTTCAGGATTCTTACCTAACAAGCGTGTTTTCCAAGCACAACACAGTACATCAACCAACACACCTGTCCTGCAGAGGAACACTGTGATACAGCATTGCTTGTCCTCAACATTCATAAACTCAAAACAGCTATAAGACATAAGCAACCTGTCTGCAACCATAAAATTAAATTTGGGCAAAATATTTGAAGAAAAAAAGAAAAAACCCCACTTACCTTTCATGTTTCTGTGAGCCTATCCGATTCTGCAAGTTTTCTTTGTAGAAACGCATTGAGGAGACTATACAGCCTGACACCCAGTAGATCATGATATTGGTGAGCAGGTCATCCAGGTTAAACTTCCTGAAGAGGTAAACCCAGAGACACCTTAGTTAGAACCAAATGCCATTTTACGTTACTTTAGCAGGGACTTGACTTTGGTTTGGTTTTAAGAAAAAAAAATTACAGCAAAAAATAGTTAACTTGCATAAGAAAAGAGTTGAGAGGTCAAGCGTGTTACTCTGTCAATGGCCAAATAAGAACGTTAAAGGCTTTCAGACACAAACTGGGAAGGGAGATTTTAACTTCTACACAGAAGGCCAACTCCAACAAGCACCTGATGCTTTAGCACAGCTGTCTATACTGTCCATAGACTGGGAGGGTGGGAGCAGAAGAGCACATGGAACAGCTTGTGCCATTTATTATTCATAATTTCAAATGCTACCATGAGCCTTCAATAGAGCCATCACACCAACATGTGCTGTGAACAGCGCATGTTTCATATCAAAATATTAGCTGTATGCAGTGCAAACATTCTACTCTATCCATTGTCACTGGACCTTTTTATAACATGCCCCTTTGCTCCACTCCTGCCAGGTACCTCAGCAATTTTCAAAGGGGACTTCATCACAGATTTCTGCCGCACACTAACAGTGATCCTTTATTAGGTAGGTAGATGAAGCAATACTATCAATTTAAAGCAAATTCATAGAGTTAAGTTTTAGTAATAAAATAAATCGTGAGTTCTGTTTCCCAGCATCTTAATGTAGGTTAAACTTTTGCTTTTCTGTCCTAATGAGATTCTACCACCTAAGTCAGTTTTTAATCCCCAGAAGTTGCAGGCTGTTTCTCTTTTCTAGGAGATGAAAGCGGGAAGGGAGTACGTCAGCGTTCATGGCCTATTTGCTTCTTTGCACCATTTGTGGTCACTACAGGCTCCCTATGAGATGTGAGGCAGTCGATTCAGATGAACTTCTTCAGCTATGACTCTGGGTTTAGTCGCCTCATCTAAAAAGGCATAAGAGGAAATGCTTACCTCTCTAGTCCTCCATCCTCTAAGTCACGGAATTCCAGATCAGTCCATGTAGAAAACTTCTCCAAGATGTATGCAGCCAGTCCTACAGGAGAGTCATTCAAACCACAGCCTGAAAAGGAGGAGGAAAATGTAACTAAAATTCCGATATCTGACTCCTGAACTCAAACTGTTACAGAAGCAGCCCTTTATAATACAGGGTAGATAAAAACTTTACAAAGCTGCTCCAGCAGCTGTGTTCTTAAATAAATAAATAAATAAATAAAATAGTACAACAAGCTGGAGCCATTTATTGTTGATTCATAAACTGATAGTATCTGCAAAACAACAGGCTCCCCGTTAGCTCACACTGTATGTTTTTTGAACTAATATAACAGTATTTGATTTCTGCTGGCCTTTTTTTGTTGCTGTTGTAAGCTAATAAGATTAAACTCCACGTGCCAAGCAGGGTTTGATTCCATTAAATCTGGAAGTTGTCACATATTAAAACAGCGTTACAGGGCCAAACCCCCCAGGCCTACACATGACCAGGAGAATTTACACCATTATCTAACAGCAAAACCATTTTAAGGATTATTGGAAAGTCAGTAAGGAAGATCAAGGCTTTACTAAAGGGTCCATCTTCTGAATTAGCAATAGCCAACCGCCTTCATGTAGAAGAAGGCTTAATATACTTTTTATACTTGGTTTTGCTTGGATAAAAAAACCAAACTATACACCTGCACCTGGTACTTTGCTAATACATCCTGGTGCTGTGAAATACAGGGACCATAAACTGTCCCAGCTGCTCAGAAAAACCGTAGAAAAAGCTTTTCCTGATGAACAGCAACATATTTGAAGTTCCACCCATGCAACCCAACCTTCCTGAAAGATGCCTAACGCTACAGCTAGCACAATTTCATCAGCAATTGCTATTTAAACATGATAGCTGAGTTTCAGTTATCAAACAACTAACATCGATAACTGAAATACCAAGTGTCTGAAAAAGTTATATTGAGCATGCTTTCCAGATCTGCAGAACTGGACACGCAGTAGCCTATTCTCACATACTTACTGTGAACAAAGAAGAGTACACTAGTGTACATACAGGAAAAATGTACATCTGTCCTAACAGTACTTTGAATACAGGTGCTGCTTGTTTTAGTCAGTTGAAAATGAACCCACACTCCATGCAGTTTTCCAAAAGAATAAGTATAAAATCAAATCCACGCAAGCCAGTTTGATTCAAAGCCAGCTCTGGAGCAATCAAGAGTACAGTATCAGCAGGCACAGTACATATCAAGAGTTAGAGACAACTTCCTCGTTTAGCACAGCTTGCAAGGTAGCCCTGTACCACCAGAAGTCTCAGGACTGTGGCAGCCTCCATGGCTGTGCTGCTTCTAGCTACCTTACACTCCCTTCTTCAGAGTGATTTTCTCCCTGGGGGAACCTGCTGCCTGCCATGCTC